GCTAGACTCCCATATGGGCCAACTGCAGTTCAAGTCCCAGACTTGGTGGCTTGCTTTTTCATTTTCCCTGTGTTTCTGTCTCTCTCTGGTCAAATAGAAAGTAATAATAATAAAATTAAATAATTCTTTTTTAAAAAGAAAGAAAAATCACAGTGGCCACGTGTACCTGTGTGCCCAAAATCCCAGGAGGAGAATGGAGGAGAAAGGATTGCAGCAAGGTTATCCCCCTGGGTGGTGAGTTCTCACTTTCCCTCTCACTGTCTCTCTCTCTTTCCAGTGAGCGCATGCATCCTACTACAAAAACCTTAAAGAAATCTGTATGGAATATGCATAAAGTCATCTTGAGTTTATGCAGCAGAATCTAGTTTAGAGAATGCCATAGCCAATAACCACAGCAGGCTATTCTAGTATGATCCATTCACAAGGTTTTCTGTTTCTTTTCTTCTTTCATTTTTCTCAGTTTGAGAGAAGGTACATGGACAGAGAGAGAGAAAAATCAGAAAGCATCCTCTGGGGGAGATGGTGATGCCACAATCCCTTCTCGTCCATTTCTCCATTACAGCACTGTAGAAAATAACTCACAAGTTATTGGCACTTCTTCTCTTGTATCACTATGATCCCTTCCTAATAAATAAAATATGACAAAATATGTTAGAAAGTAGATATAAATTGAATGGGAAGCATGCCAGGTGGGGCTATTTAAGGCATTCTAAGTATTTCAGCTTAGCTGTCACTCCTCACAGAGGCCTTACCTAATCACCCAATTCAATTTTTTTTAGAGGTTTTTGCTATAGGGCGCATGTGCTCGCCAGACAGACAGAGAGACAGAAAGCGAGAAATCACCCCCCGGGGGGATGGCCACACCGCAATCCCTTCTCCTCCGTTCTCCTCTCGGATCTTGGGCACGCACACACGCGCCCAGCGTGAGTTTTAAGCCACCGGGTTCGGGACGCAAACTATGGTCAATTGTGGGAGTCCAGCGATATAGCCATTGCGCTAACTGCTGGTCCCCCTAATCACCCAATCTAATGTTGCCTCCTCCTCCTCCCCTCAATCTCATTACGTGCTTTGTTTTCTTCCTGACACTTGATACCTGAGAGTTCCTGATGTATTTGACTTACTTGGAGTTTAACTCCTTCATCACAATTTCTTCTATTTTCTTTTTTAAAATTATTTTTATTTAACTTAACTTTTTATCATCTTTTTTTTTTTTTTCTTTCCTTTTTTTTTTTTTTTTTGTCCCAATTTGAGACAGAGAGAGAGGGAAAAGTGAGAAAGCAAGCCACCAGGTTCCGGACTTCAACCACAGTCTGCAATGTGGGAGTCCAGCCCCCTCAACCACTGCCACCTGCTGGCCCTTCTCCTATTTTCTTCTTCTTCATGATAGCATATGAGAGCCAGAGAGCATCCCCTATCCACAAAATCTTTTTTCCTCCACAATCCAGGTCCCACAGCCCTCCCACCTGATGAACGTTCATGTGGACCTTGAATCGGAACCCATCTTCAGCCATATGGCTTCTTACACTGCAGTTCAGTTAGCCAACTGTGCTTTTCCTTTTTTAAATAGGACCGGCTACATACTCAATTCATTTGTTGAACAATGTTCTTGGTATCTTAGTTGACTGTGGGTTTCTCTGTAGGGGCCTAGAGGCACATAATAAAGGAGATGATAGAAAACATGAAAACATCAAAACTGGGGCTAAGAAAAATGTGTGTAGAGTTCCTCTAATCCTACAAAGTCTCACACATTTTTCCTCTTTCCAAGTCGGGTTAAAACTGCGGTGGTGTTTTCACGGATTGGTTGTTCCTGTTTAGGACAAACGGGGAAACTAATCACAGTTCTTCCGGTTTAGCAATGAAGTCAACCCTCTCCACTATTTTTCAATTGTCTTTTAAGGGCTTAGAATTTTTAAATAAACCTATACAAGATTTAAGAGTGAATCTCTGCAAGAATATAGATGTAAAAGAGCAGGGCTAGGTCTAGAAATGGGAGGGTGACATAGAATACAAGTCAAAAATGAATGCCTCACAAAAATTCAAGTACAGCCACTGCAGGGAGGTCAGTTAAGACTATAGCGTGGGAACCAGCAGTTAGCGTAACGGCTATGTCGCTGGACTCCCACGTAGTCAACCTTGGTTCAAGTCCCGGACCTGGTGGCTTAAAACTCACGCCGGACCCGTGTGCGTGGGTGCCCAAGATCCGAGAGGACAATGGAGGAGAAGGGATTGCTCCGTGACCATCCCCCCTGGGGGGTGATTTCTCGCTTTCTGTCTCTATGTCTCTCTATAGCTGTCTGGTGAGCGCATGCGCCCTATAGCAAAAACCTCTCCAAAAAAAAAAAAAAGACTATAGCAAGGCGAGGAAGGACAGAAGTTAGGGGAAAAGGACCCTAATAAGATGACCAATAGGGCAATGGGGCACGTGTATGCACATACGTGAAGGTGAAATCGGGTCCCTTAACCAAAGGCCCTTCTAGGACGGAATGGGATTGTGGGTGGGAGGACTGAGGTGACATCGCCCGGCTCTTAAGCCTCCTCCGTCTCTTTCTGACGGGCAAGTGAATACAGAGCTGGAGAACGCCCGCTCCGTTTTGGTCTTGGGGAGGACATTCGGGGTTTCCTCAGTCTTCAGTCGACTCTCTGAGCACTTCCTGAATGAATCAGGTCACCAGCGGGGTCCCGGGCCCCGGTAGGCCGAGCTCCCAGGGTAACTGCACCGCGGGCCTGCTCGGAAGTGGGCTGGGATCTGCGAAAAGCCGGCGTGGGGCTCTCGGGTTTCGGCAGCAGAAGGCACCCGGAGCGGCGACGCGACAGGTCCGGTCAAAGTAGAGGAAGCAGCCGCCGCCCCAGTGGAGGGCGTGCAGCAGGGGTCTCCCCAGGGGAGGGGAACAAGAGCGAGCCCTTCCGAACGTTCCCACCCGGCTCGCTCGCTCACGTCGCTGCGGCCCCGCCCGGCCCCGCCCCAT